CCACTGGAGTAGCTGCTATGGGTTAGCCAGAAAGAGACCAATGAAGCAACTGCTAGGTCAAACCTAGGGGCCCGGGACGCCAGAGGAAGGAGGCATTGAAGCAGATGCTACATGTATTCACTATCACCAGCTGATTCCGTCCCATGAACTCATGTTTTTTCCACAAATACAATGAGCATTAATAGGTTTCTACAAGTTTCTATTTCTAGTATTGAACTGTTGTCCTAGCTGGTGCTAGACGGTCGAAAGGTTTCTGCACAATTCGGCAGGCTTTGGCTAAACTTTGGTGCACTATCACACGGTTAACTGTTAACACTGTCGGCAGTCGAAAATGCACTATCACCAACTGATTCCGTCCCGTCTTAATGATGAAATCATATTTTTCTACAAGTACAATGAACATTAATAAGAAATATTGAAATAATAATAAGAAATAAAGAACATCAACTAGTGAATTAAGTTCGGTATATCCAACAAGTGAAAGAAATAATAAAGCAAGTGAAATATATAGAGACGCAGATTACTGAATCGCACGGTAGATTGGAGGGTTTATGATAGAGACGTTCCTAGGGTTGCTGGCGCAAATATCCGCGACCCAATTTATTTTGTTGGTCTTTTCTATGAGATTCTGTCTTTGCTCACGCTAACTCTTGTGCTTCCCTCTTCCTCGTGCAGACTCTGGAGTGCCAAGAGGGCTTCGACCTCGTAGCAGCCAGTAGCGAAGTCGAGGTGGTCGATAATCAACCTACTTGGCTAGAGGCCAGTGGAAACCTAGCTCCAGTTGTGAAGGCGGACGATCAGCTGCGCTTGCATTTCAATGCATTCCGCGAGAACCGGCTCGCGTTTCCGGTACGCATTCGGGACGTGGAGCTAGAACCCTCCGGTAAACTGGTCTTCCTACGAGACCCACGACCGGGTAGTGATGCTGAAACCAAACCTCTCTTGCCCGTGAGTAATCTCTCTCTCAGCTACCGCTCTCGCCCGTGAGAATGTATGTATGTCTGGGTTCACGGGTTACCTTTTATTAGTCTTAATATATTTAGTTACCCAACAGACAGGCACCCAGATAGTATTACCGGCAAAGACAAGGGAGACTGGAATGGCCATTTCTGGCTTATTGGCCAGTCATACTCAGACCCAAGTGGTGCCGCATTCGAGCCTCGAACTCGCCACTGTTTAGATCAGAGTCAAATGGCCTAACCATTGAGCCACGAGCTCGTTGTCTAGCCGGTTTAGGTTAGATGCCATTGACACTCGTTGATGAACGTTCACCTGACCGGTTTTCGCCGATTTCTGCTGCTTCATGAGGCTACTGCGAGGGATACGTCTCCTCTGAGCGCTTCCCCCAGCTTTCTCTATGCTAGTTTCTTGTATCTGAACTCTAGGTTCATATAACTCTAACAATTCCAGAAATTATTCAGTGGAAGGATTGAACTAATTGCGCTGACCAACCCCGAAATTTCGCGAATATTAGAGTACTTGCTATCACAGTATTCTTCCCTTCCGCAATTAAGATAGTCTGGTAGGGTACAATGGACTCTGATGGTCGAGACCAATTTTTGTGTCCACTAAACTGGAAAACAATACTTTCTTGTAATGCGAACTATAAGTAACAGTGGGAAAGAAGTTAACGCTGCCAATACAAGCGAACATACGAGTCCCAGGAAGTAACTGAGAAGAAGATTCGATTGCTGGGACAACAATTTTATTTTCCTTAGCTTTCGACTTCCTTCGCGGATTCTTCCTGTGCATTTATTACCCGTTTCTGCTACTATTTTCTGTTCTTTTCTCTGATGAAGAATCCGTGACGGAGGCCAAAACGTCAGGCCAATAGAAGTTAACACTCATTAAAAATTTGAGAAGTGTGAAATTAAGCTTTAGCGCCAAATAAACCAGCATTCTAGGACTTCCAGGCCTGAGGCCGTAGCGTGACTAGTTGCCAAGGTGAATAAGCTAGGAATGGACATTCCAGTCGCCCTTGCTCTTGGTTCTTCGTATTTATGAAAAACAGCAGCAGCTGCAGTAACTACTACCCAGCATCTTACTTTCTGTTTGTTTGTTTCTTTCCTCTGCACAGGATGGTTCGGCTGCCCAGACAGAGGCTCTTGCAGTGCGATCAATCTGTGGCCTCGAGGTTAAAATTCCCACTGACCTAGAACATCACCACTTCCCTCTGCAGGCCGGCGCTGCCGGTTCTGCAATAGGTGCGGCCGGGGACGCGCCGAACGATATGACTTCTGCCACCTCTGTCGGTCCTGTTTCTGTGGTTTCGTTGTCCTGCAGTCAACCTCATCAGTACGAGCATGTTACACAGCAACAACCCAGCTTCGACTCCCATGGTCGCGATTTGTCTGTCCCTCCGCCTAGTTGGGTAAACGGTGCGTGTCGAACACTTATTTGCCTTCCTCTGTCTCAAAATACAACCCTTTCCGCTGGATTGGTGCTTTCCATTGTTAGTATCTGCCCTTGACTGCCTTATCTTTCCTCTCCAGCTCTAGGTGATGACGCCATCGCCAGGACTCAGCTGGACTTGATTGAAGTTGCTACTGCGGTCGGCTCTGATTGGCCCAAACTTGTGATGGCCCTCTTTGCTACTGACTCCAGCGAATTGCCTCCATCCGCGGATAATTTGGCTGAGTGGTTGTTACGCCATTGCACCAGCGCCGACACCGTTGCCGCCGCCGGTCTAAACAGCAACGAATTACGCAGTGACCGTGATCGTGCCCTGGCTATTCTCATTGCCTGGAAAACTGAGGCGGGCGATGCGGCGACTGGTTAGCGCGAATTTTCATTTTGTATACTCCTTGGTGCATTCAGGCTTTTCCACTGAAAGAAAAAGTTGATGACTGTCGGCTGTTTTGTTACTGCAGGGAATGAACTGGA